TGTCTTCAGAAAATTAACCCATGAAATAAGCAATAATATGTGAACTATAAACATTCTTGCATGTTGGCAGATAACCATGCTACACATTCCCCTCCAGGAACTGAGAAAGAGAAGAAAGGGAATAACACAATAGCAAAAAAATGCACTAATCAAATCCATAATCAACTTTGATGATGGAGCACAGATTCTAATCAAAACACAATGGGGTAAAGTTGCAACAGGTTGTAAGCTTGGAGCCGAGTACTCTTCCCAGGGGCCTTGCCTGCATTTTCTTTTTAAACATCTAAAACACCCACAGAGGATTTCAATCACTTCTAATTACTTTTTTAAAGAAATGAGTTGCCAGTTGAGCACCAGGCTCCTAAAAACAGGAAATATCAAAGTATTATATATAAATTTTTTTTCCTTGCAACTGCTTCTTAAAAATAGGCCAACCTCTCTTCAAATAGCTCATGAGCATTCCTTATCTGAAGGTCGGCTGGACAGGGTTTCTGAACTAACACAGAGCCTATCTCTAAAACAAGTCTTTGCACATGGTCATAATTTATACACCACGTTAACGGAGCAGAAGCTATAAATGTTCATTCTTGGGGGAGCGCCCAGGTATCCCAGCACCAGGAAGGGAATCTGGGAGGATGTGCTGCTGCAGAACACAGTTCCCCCCACTGGGGGGTCGAGCCCCAGCTGCAGGTTTGTGGGGGGATTCGAGGTGAGGGGCTTAGGGTTGACAGTGGGGCTGCATCTCAGAACTATTTTCTGGTTTGCTGGCTATGTTAGGTCTTTTCACACTTGGTGGAGGAGAGTAGGCTTAGGGGGAAATGGGCTGTCACTGGCTGAAGAGAGTTGCTGTATAATTAAAGGAGCCGTAAGAATGGCTTCCTTTCCCCTATAGCTACCACATTGAATATTCTGGACCCCAAGCTAATAATCAGCACTGTCCTTTCCCAAGGGTCTGCTGTGAACCAGGTCCTTTATGGACACCGTCTCCCCAGCTTCTCATATCACCCTGCATGTTCAGAATTACTATCCACTAGGAAGCCAGCATGCAAATCCAATCTTTCAGCTGTGAGAAGACTTTGTTCTTTTCTCATCACCTTTTAAAAGAGAGATACTAGATACAGAGCAATTACCTACTGCATGAAGGTGCAGCTTCCTTCTGGTGACCTCAAGTCCTGCTCTGTACCGCTGCACAGCGTGGCCCTGCTCCTCCCATCTCACCTCCTGTCCTCCCCATGCAGCCATTCATGCATTTTTCTGAAGCCCAGCCACCTCCTGCCTCCTCCACGAAGCCCTCTGGACTTCTCCAGCCAGCATGGTCCGTCTCTTCCTTTGAACCCCAAGCATGTCTCTAAGCCCTGTCTCTGTTTTGCACTGTTGCCCTTGGTACATCAGTTATGTCTCTCAACTAGATTATAAAATCCCCAAGGGCCAGCGATGTTTTATTTACCCTGCTCACCTGCAAGAACATGCTGAAGAAGGCAGCTACAGAGAGGGGGAAGAGCACTGGCCTTGAAGCCAGAACAGCCCGAGCTGGAATCCCTGCTCCACCACACTGGGGCAGGGTGATTTGAAGCTAGTGACTCCACTTTGCTGAGTCTCACTTACTGTTCTAGCTCAATAGTTAGAATGGCAATCTTATACACCAGAGCATGAAAGAAATCAGGAAGTCTCTGCGGTTACCTCTCAGTAGCATCGTGGTTAAAGGCATAAAAAGTCCACAGTCAGACTGTCCAAGTCCTAATTCTGCTTCTGTTACTCACGAGGTCATTAACCCACTCTTTGCCTCAGTTTCCTCTGAGTAAAATGACAGTAATAACACTTATTTCATTAGGTTGTGTTGTAAAAATAAAGAGGCATTTTTTATATCTTTAGAACAATTCCTGGCATATAGGAAGTGCTGGGTAATGATTTGCCATTATTATGTTACTATTGTTATGGAAAATGCCATCTCTGCTTTAAGTGTTACTGTGAGGATGAAATGAGATTATATGAAAAGAACCTGGCACATCAGACCCTCAACAAATGGTTCTGCCCTTCCCTCATCTTCCCACTGTGCTGGTTGTACTAGGCAGGTGATTGATGCTCTGAAAATCCTTGTGAGCCAATTGATACCTTCTCACGGGCTTGAGAATAAGCTATGCCTTTTCTTACTTCCAGGCTATTAGATCTAGATTAACATGCCCTATCTCTTGCTTAGCAATATACATAGCTAATTTTATTGTGTTTCTTATTTGCCAGACACTGGGCTAAACACTTCACATATTTTTTTCTTTATCCACATTGTGTGTTTACTTATGCCCATTTTTAAAGATGGGAACACTGAGGCCCAGAGAGGTTAATCGCCTAGGTCATCCAGCTATTGTTTATTACATGGCAGAGACAGGACACCATGGATATGCACCTGACTTTAAAACCCATATTATTGCTCTGACCCATGTGGCTCAGTTGGTTGGGTGTTGTCCCACAAAGCGAAAGCTCACCAGTTTGCTTCCTAGTCAGGGCACATGCCTGGATTGTGGGTTTGGTCCCTGGTTACAACACATAGGAGAGGCAACTGATTGATGTTTCTCTTCCTCTCCTTCTCCCTCCCTTACCCTCTCTGTTAAAAAACAAACAAACAAACAAACAAACAAAAAACACTTTTAAAAACCCTGTGCTACTCACCACTGCACAACCCAGCTTCCCACTAAAAACCTCCTAAATAAAAGGGTAATCAGAGGCCCCAGGACATCATTTGCCATTTAATTAATCATTTCCTGAGTATCTTCTAGTAATAAATATATGTTTTGGATCAGGGACTATAGATATGAAGGCAGATACAGTCCTCAAACCATAATGGAGAGGCTTTCCTACATGGTGAATAGGCAGTGTCAGGAAGACTGGGAGGTAGCAGGGTACAAAGAAGGGAAAATCCCTTTTGCCAAGGTCACTTTGATGCCAGGTTGGGGCAGTGAGAACAAGGATCTGCCACCTGCCACAGAGAAGAGCCCCCAGGAAGTCCAGACATATAAGTAAAGATCAGACTGGTAAAAACTAGGATAGCCTATTAGGAAATGGCCAGTTTCCCTAGCAGTCCAAACCATCCTCATGGTCAGTGCACTGAGGGCAAGGCAAGGCGAAATGGGCCATTGTGCGAAATGTGCACCAAGGGTAAGAGAGGGAAGCAAAGCCATGAGGGAACAGGACCATGCCAGATCCTCTATGAGCAGCTGCAGAACATTTTCAGGGAAGAGGTGATGAATCACCTTTCCAGAGCCTGCCCAGTGCAAGTCCACCAACAATGTTAAGTGAAGGGTCAAATGGGCAAAGGCAGAGCAGCTGCCTGGGTGTGAACCACCAACCCCAGCATTACTTTCCCTCTGATTCCTCAGGTCCTCCTCATCAGGCTGGATGTGTGTCATATCCCAGAGTCATTGCTCTGGCCTCCCACATACCGCCCACCATACCTTATAAGCTCCACCTCCAAGTATGAAGGGGAAACTCTGACAAAACCATACCTTCGAGTTCATTCCCCTGTCAGAGCTCACTGGACAAATCCTGTGGCCAACAGCAGAAAAACAGAGCAGAATACAAAACCCTAGCTGGGACAGGCCCCAGGAGAATTGGGGGAAATCTTGCCTTCCTCCCACACGCCATCACTCAAACCTGTCAGCTTCCAAAAACATTTAGCAAGTGCAGCAGCAAGGGGCATGCTTATCAGCCTGGCGTGGGAGCTTAATCTGCTTTGAGGGCCTTCTCCAGCCCAGAGCTCCAAAAGTCTGCTTACAATTAGCTTCCAGCTCCAGTTCCTACATCAGAAAGGCTAGGAATGTGTTGAGTTCTAGCCTCTGATCAGAGAAAGCTCCAGGAGAAGGTGGAGACAGTGTCAGCAGAGACGTAAGTGCCAAAAAGGTCAGCTGGTCTGTTGCCACTTCCCTGCCACCAGACCCAAATTACCTTCCCCTCCCTCATCTTTCCTGACCAAGACAGTCACATCCGTCAAGTCAGCCTGTCCCCAAAAGTCCCTGATGACTGGCTGCCAAGAAAATACGGCGTTCCCCTGCTCCCTCCTACCACAAGAGGGAAGAAAAACAGCAGGGAGGGCAGGAGGCCAAGAGAACCTGATTGGCCCTTGCTGATTTCCTTAAAAGAGATTGAATGGCCAGGGCCTGTCACCCAGCCGAATTGGGTGATGCGAGCTCTGACTGGAAAGGTAGAAGTCATCACTTCTCTTCAAGCCACCTCTCACCCCATCCCCCCATCACTCGGGCTACCGGGCTACCGGGCTACCCGCACCAGGATCTACTACCCAGGAAGGAGGGGCTTAGCTTCGGGCCGCCATTCCGAGCAGCCACCCCCACCCCCGCCGCAACAGCCAGCCAAGACGCTAGGAGTCTCCAGCTGGCTGCTTCAGCTGGTGCCCCGGGCACTCCTACCGCAGTCCCAGCACCGTGCCCGGAATCCTGTTAGTCCAAGGGATGGAGCAAGTGCAGGTCATCTTCAAGTCGAGGGAGCAGGTTCACTGCCACCCCGGTCTCATTTTCCTGGATATTGCAGCCACAGGGGCATCGAGCCCAACAAGGTCTCTAATCATTCCTTGTCAGGAATAAAATCTCTGCAGAATCAACAGACAGGCACAGTCGATACGGCTTTTCTAGGGCCAAGCCCTCAACATGCAGGACCTGACATTTCCAGCCCTGAGGTTTTTTGTTTTTGTTTTTTTGTTTGCTTTTTGTTGTTTTGTTTTTAACGCACCCTGCCGTGCTCCCCAAAAGGAAGCCGCGGGCGTGCCCGCACCAAGGTCTCATATAGATCCTTAAGGCAAACCTAGGCCACCCGGGCCACACCCACCGGCCAGCCTACTCTGCTCGCGCATCCCCCCATCTGCCGGCCTAAGTGGACCGGTACCCTTCTCTGCCCACAGGGTAGCCCTTTCTTCCCATCCAGCCATGCCATCCTCCCCAAAAGTATTCACCAAACCTCCCTCCCAGAATATCGCCCCGGCACACAGCGCCTCTCACCTGGGTATCGAACCCGTTTTCCAGCGAGCCGCTCTTCCGCAGCGGGAGCCCCTCCCCCGCCGGCTCCTGCAGCCCCTGCGATTTCAGTGGGATCTGGCTAGGGAAGGCGGTCTTGCTCACCTCCACCTTGCTTCCCAACTTGAGGTAGCAGGGCTGGGGGCCGGCCCGGGCCGGGGGCACGTGCAGGATGGGCGCGGCGCTGTGCACGGGTTTGGGCAGTCCCGACTTCATTTTGGAGGCGACCAGGATGGCCGGCATCTTTTCGCGGGGCTTCGGCTTTCCCAGCACGTCCCTGGCAGCGGCAGCGGAAGCAACCGCTAAAGGCAGCGCGGGCAGCAGAGCAGGCGCCGGGCCTCGGCCCTCGGGGCGCCCACCACCAGTGGAGGGGGAAAAAAAATCCCCGGGTCGGGGAGCTCGGAGCAATAAGATGAGAGCGCCTTCGGGATGCCGGAATGCTGCGGAGGACTAGTCGCGGCGCTCAACTGGTCCCACCTGGATGGATGCTGCAGCCGGGTCTCACGCCCCTTCTGGGCGGCCAATTCAAGGGCTCTGGGAGCTCAGGGGCTGTTGCCTCTTGCGATTCTCTTGCCGGGGACCCGAGGCTTGGAAGCCCATATTAACTTGTCACTGCATCTCCAAAGCGAGGACGCCCCTTTGGAAAAGAGGCGGCGGGGACCCACGCCTCCTGCTGCTGGAGCCTGCGGGTGTGAATCGGGCAGGGAAGGAGCAAGCTGCGGCGGAAAGGAAGGAGAGAACCGCGAAGGAAGAAGAGGGTGGGCGCACGGAGCCCAAGGCGTCTCAAGAGCACCGAGAGGCAGCTGCCGCCCTGATCCTGAGCACCGCAGTGTCACCCAAGACGCAGAGGCGCGGCGGGAGCCCCCGAAAGGTTTCTCTAGGCGTGACAGTCACCACTGCCCAGAAGCCCCTCGGACAGATAGCACCTTAACGCCTGCGGGTCTGCACATGCTCCGTGCGCTATAGCGCGGCAAGGCTGTGGCCGTGGGGCGCGGGCACTGGGACGCGCGGCCGGGCAGTGCTGCGCTCGCTAGCGGCCGCCGCACTTCCCGGGAAGGCTGCGCTGGCTGCGGGGCTCAGTGCAGGGGAAGATAGGCTGCAGCCCGCTCGGCTGCGGCGCGCGCTGACAGCCGGGGCCGCTCCGGCGCGCCCATTGGTTCGCGGTGCACCTATCAGCGGCCGCGGCTCTGCCTGCAAAGGGGGCGTGGCTCAACTCCCGGGCCGCGGCCGAAACTCTGGGGCCGCGCTTGGCAGCAAGTACAAAGCGGGCTGGTGGCCTCTCTGCGGCACTGTTCCGGCGGCGCGCTTCACCGCGGGCTGACACCCCCGCGCCCTGAAAACTTCTTTTGAAAAATGCCCTTTCGAACGCAAACGCCCGCCTTCGGGCCCCGCAGGCACGGCTCAGGGGAAGTTTTGTTTCCTTTTTCAAATTATTCTGGTCACCTTAACGGTTTAAGTCTTCCGGAGTCGCTCTCGAGGCCCTGCGGCCCCCCCATCTGGCCTGGGCAGGGCTGTTCCTCGTCTCCCGCGAAAATGACAAGCCAGCCATTTCTCCTCTTTTCTGCCTGGCGGTCCGGGGTGGGGGTGGGGGTGGGGGTGGGGGTGCGGGTGGGGGGTGGGGTGGGGGTGGGGGTAGGCTCTCCCAATAGCTTCCTCTTCGGTTTTCAAAGGCTGCACATTTCACTTAACTATTTGAAGTATTTATGGGCAAATACAATACCCAGGGAAGCTTCCCGCCCCGAAACAGCTCCTCCTCGCAATCTACCACAAACTCTGTAATTAGAGTGGCCTGAGGAAGCTAGGAGAGGCTCCATGACCCTGGCTGGCTCAGGCTAAACCTTGCTGCATTTCATGTAGGAGCCCCTCCCTGGCCGTGCCTTGGACACACTGGCCCCACAGGTTCCTCGGCTTGAATTCCCCCAAGGATTTCTTTCCTCCTCTCAGTTGCAGTTTGGGTTCCTTGCTGACGCAAAGTGTATGAGAATTGAAAGGGATGAACCAGGCAGGCCAGAATCCTCTCAGTTCACTTATAAGAAGCCCGGTAGAACTGCCTGGATTTCAGTTGGGCAAGTTCTTTAGTCTTACATACATCCTTAAAAGGCCTTGGTTTTCACTTGTAGTAAGGAGGAGATTTCACTACATTTCTATAATGCGCTGTTGTTTGAATTAAATGAGATAGTGCATGACAATCTTTTAGTACAAGTACCCAGCAACGTAAGGGGCCAATGGAAGTTCAGTAGTATTATCCTTATTAATTACTGCTACTCCTCCCACCCCCTGGGCATCTCTGTGTAAAAGGTGTTTGTCTTCTCTGTCTCTGAGATACCTGTGTTCTCCATATACCCACCCTATAGTCTGACATACAACACTGATAGCATTGATTTTTCATTATCCAGACCAGGGGAAGCTTGAGTTTTAAAAGAACCTCTTAAAACAGCACCAAGAAATAAGAAGGTGCTTTCTTACCCTGCTCTGTTTCCTCTCCCATCTTGTCTTCTACCCATTCTATATTCTATATAGCAACTTTCTACTCTAGCTAGGCTAAAATGCACACAATTTTGTATATAATGTCAGGTATCTTCCCTTCCTCTGAAATTAAATCACATATGATCCATGCTACTTACTTAGCACTCTGCCCTTTGCCATCCAGTGCCTCCTAGTAATTGATCATTTCACGTGTTTATTTTCTTCTGAGAGAGAGGGGAGTTCTTGAAGTTAGGAACTGCTTTTAAATGTTTATTAGATTCTCTCAGCATCAAGTATAATGCTGTGGACAGAATAGCTACCCAAATTGTCAAATGAATGATTGAATGATGCTAGCAGCAATCCTCTAGGAGAAGGGCCGGTTAGATTCACGTACATAAAGTCATACCTTAGAACTCTCCTACCCAGAACTCTGGTTTTGACAGGTGTACAAAGAGTTATGGAATGATACTGCAATCTTTGTCCCTAAAGACCGTGGAGATGTTCCAAAGGATCTCCGTGACCCCAATGCAGTAGTTCTCAAAGTATGGTCCTCAGATCAGCTGCAGCACCTGGAAACTTGTTTGAAAAACCTCCACCTCACTATGCTTCCACCTGAAGCTAATACAAAGTTATACTGACTATCAACTGTAATTGAAAAAATACAAATAATGGTTTAAAAAAACCCACCCCAGACCTACTGAACCAAAAAGCTTTGGAGGTGAGTCCCAGCAATCTAGGTGTAACAAGTGTTTTAACCCAGTGATTCTGATGCATTCTGAAGTTTGAGGACTTCATCCAGCCCAGTGAAAATATCCTGCAGCCAGTGCTCTTCTAGGGCTTCTAAACCTTACTACACATAAAAATCACTGGAAATCCTGCTAAAATGCAGATTCTCATTCAGTAGGTCTAGAACAGGGGCTGAGCTTCTGTACGAATGAACTCACCTGTGACGCCCATGCTGGTGGTCTGGAGCTTTTGAGTCATAAGATGAAACCATAGGTAGCAAAGGGTTTCTTTTCAAGGGTCATCTATAATTAGGTGACTTTCTGTCACACTGTGCTGAAAATAATTCTGAGGGTGCATCTATGTAGTTTAGTTGTAAACAGTATGGTTAATTGATAATGTCAGCCATGGATATAGAAATAGAAATAGTGACATAAATGCTATGTGTTTGCCATCTTTGCTCTCCCATTTAAATCCTATCTGCTGCCAAGGTCTTTTCTTGACAGTTACCCTCAAACATGTACTATGAAAAACAGTGCATTCTTTTTCTTTCTTTTTTTTGAATTAAAATTACCTATTACTAGTACTCTAGAATTTGGTAAATATATGAGCATTCACCTTAATACTGTGGAACTTATTTAACTAAAGTCTGATAATTTCTAATCTTTCTTGACAGAAAACAAGTGAATCTTTTTAAGTGTATTTTCAAATTTACTTCCCTGCCTCCTCAGCCCTTCAATAATTTTATCTGCTCTTTCCTGGAACATTTTTCATTTCCCTTTATATCTTTCCTATAAATCTTTATTTCTTTATTTAAAGCAAAATAATTTATCATAATAACCAGACAAGTGGGAAAAAAAAGCTGTTTTTCCCCTGCAGCAAAAGAGATAATTGCAAGGTTCCTCCTTAAATAAGATCATCTCAAATTATAAAAATATCCTATAAAGCTAGTCCTTCCACATGGATGCTATGTTAACATGAAAGTCATTTTAAATCAATAAGTTTGGCAAGCATTGTTAACTAAAGAAGTCATTGGTTCAAAGAATGGCAAATTGCCTTGGAAAGAACACACAATCCAGATTTTTTTTTAAAAAGGTTATTTTTAAAAATTACATGCCCTGTGGACAGCCCATGATTTCAAACCTCAGCTTTAACAATTTTTCTCTCTTATTCTGTCTGACTCTAAACTTTAAAAATCAGCCACATGCCAATGATGGGGAATTTGAAATTTACTTTCAAAGCTCTCAGGACCCCTGACTCACCCTAAGAATTGGGACAGTTCCCTGGATGTAGGAAGTGCCAACCTCAGATCAGGATGGGTCAGCTGCTTCCCAGTTCTGATCCTGACGTCATCCAGTGGTGATTAGTTGAGTGTGAACTGGCCTTTAGAGCTGACCAGCAAGTGACACCAAACCATCCTTCACTACGATTAAAGACCCCTGGCTGCACCTGACCTACCAAGAAGACAGTCCTGTGAAGATCCTGAAACATCTAAACCCCGGCCTATCACAAAAAATGCAGGCATCTGGGAGGGGGGAAGTCAACAGCCTCTTGGAAACCCCTGAGTGTGACAGATGAAAGGGCATGTTATAAGTCTCTGAAATAATAGAAAAAGTGAAAAATTCATGAGTTTATTTGGGGATTGAAAAAAAATCACATTAGCTTATTTTCAAAAACCCACTTCTTCTTAATTTTATTTGACATGGTTGACAGCTATGGCACATACCTCAGAGGTGGCACAACTGCCCACACTTCGGCAGCGATGGCGGTGAGGGCCTACTCATTCCAGACTGCGGAGAAGGAGGGTTAAGGACTTTAGGGCAACTCTTTAGAAAGTCTGCTCACCCTGTACCCCCGCCCCCCAACTACTTCTAATCTACCTTCTTCCAGATGGGTCTGTGTGCAGATCAATATGCACAATGGTGAGCTCAGGAAGACTGTGGATTCTGGAGTGTGAGGAATCTATGTGAAGCGGGGGGTGTGTGTGTGTAGGCATTGAGACAATGGCCTTGATTAAATGTTATATAGTTAACGATTGATTAATCATATATGGA